CCTTTTTTCACCTGGGAATTGAGTGTAACTGAATACCAATGTCAGAGAGTGTGTTGCTTTCGGCTCGCAACACTCATTGAAAAACCAAAACCTACTTGCATGATCTTGCCACACTAGATCTGTATCACATCTGTGATGCAGGTATGATACAGCCATAAGGAGTTGCAACCAATCTTGCTTGAACGCATCAATGGCACATCAAAGCAACAAGAATAGCAATGGCACATCATTGCACTTCTTTGGGGAGTCGACTGGGGCGAAGGCGACTGAGCAAGCTTGTCACGTGTCCTCCTTCAGCTCACCGTGAAGTAAGTCTAGTCTTTCATCGCCCACAGGGGACATGGCAGGCAAAAACAGCAACGGAAAGTGGCAGGATGTGGCAGGCGTTGCATGGTGAAGACTATAATGATTGATGTGCAAAATGATTCGAACCAACATGGTGTGGGTCACATTGGCCCCTCCAAAACACATCAAAACACATTCCGTCCTGTTCCTATTGTGTGTTGGGTGCCTGATGCCCCAAAAAAAAATTCTATCATCCTCTATATCCGACTCTATCCATTCCAAAAGGGCTCTACTATCCATCTGACATTGTGGGTATCTACATGTATCTACTGGGTGGCTAGCCTAAACCAGCGCTCCTCTCCAGTCCCATTGGTCACGAGATCGGTGATGGGGCCACCCACTGGTCGATGTCCCGACGAGCTTGGCAGAGAACGTTTGGAGCCAGCTTCTTGGTCGACGAATTTCTGCCTACTGGACGACCAGTACTGGACATATACTAAAACGCATCTACAAGCCAAGAAACATCATGGACCGGATTCTTCCTAGAGGATCATCGGATATCCTGGTTGAAAAAGGTCACTGGGGCCATAGAAAGGCTCAGAGTGAACGTCCTTCGGGGGGTCCTTCGGTTCTGACCCCAGGCCACGGCCACAAGTGAGCTGGAGCCACAGAAGTGCAAGCAAACATCAGAACATGTCAGAAATCAACTCAACTCACAGAACATCTACGACACTTCAAGTTGGACATCTGTATTGAGCCACTTGCACCAAGCCACTCGCTTTCAAACATGCCGTTCTTTTTCTGGGCGGCTGAGCTTGTGCAGAATCGATTCAAAGCAGTAGTGGTCACTTTCAACCTCACATGGCCAGTTAATGAGTCAGAAGTAAGCCTTGAGCTGCTATCAAACATGACATCTCTCTCCCCACCACCTTCAGATTGCAATCTTCCCCTTCTAGCTTATGATATGCAATGCTTATGTATTCGATCATATTCGAAACTTAAGTGAACGCCAACCAGTCTGCGAACATCGTATGAAAAGAGTGTGTCATAATTCAAGATGTCTTTCTCAGATTTTGCTAGTGGAGACTTTTTATATATTTGTGTCCATTCTGCATCCATTGGCTCCGCTACGGTATTTGGAGGCCAGCAGCGCTGCTTCTGTTCATCATGAGCTCCACCAGCGGGGCAGGCTCGGTATGCATCACAAGTTTGACTTGACTGGGAGCCATGAGAAAAAAGCCTCTTCCGTTCATGTCCATTCCCTATTGATGTTGGCGCCTATTTTAACTTCTCTGCGGCTAGCCCGGGAAAAGTCTGCGATGAAACATGCCATAACTAACTGGCGGTCGCACTCGGCAAACCAAAGCGCCCACCAGGACTGAAGTGTTTTAAACACTTCAAAGCCTTGGACAAGAACCCTTGAACTGGTCCAAAAGTATGGGAAAGCCGGAGATCTCAGCAAACAGCACGAGGTGCTATCTATTGACGGCGCTTGGACATCAACAAATTGATTCCATCCTCCGAGGATTGTGTGATTGACACTTTTGGCGTAGGAGCTGGCGATCCTTCCTGGATTCGGAGATTGAAGTTCTTCACGATGAACGCCAGCAAGTAGACACCCTCCACGTAGGCAAGCCTCTTGCCAATGCACGCACGACCACCAAAGCCAAATGGGAGGTACATGTCTGGATAACCCTTTTCCATTCTCTCAGGACGAAAGTCCATCACATCGCTGCCCCACGTGTCTTCGTTGTGTGCCAGCATCAATTGGCTGATCACTAGCAAAGTACCCCTTGGAATTGAGTACTTCCCACCCAGTGTCACGTCAGCCTCCGCTTGGCGTACATGTCCAATGACCGTGGGGCGCAAGCGAAGAGCCTCCTGCCACACCATCCAGGTATAAGGCAGCGAGCCCTGAACATGTGTCAATTGCATGTTGTCCAGATCAAGGGTGGATGCTTCTGCAAGAATCTTTTCTTGCACCTCAGGATTGCGAAGGAAACAAATTGTCCTCTAAATATGTTTAGATTGTTTCCATATTGTTTCCTCATTGTGTTTTCTTGCTCAAACATTTTTCCCTTGGCACCTCAGGATTGCGAGCCACCTCCAGAAGTGCCCATGATGTTGTATAGCCTGTGGTCTCGTGGCCGGCCATCAGCAAAGTGAGAATTTCATCTCGTAATTCTGCCTTGCTCATCTTTCGACCTTCCTCATGGGCATCTTGCAAGGCCTTGAGCATGTTCAGCCTCGAATTGTCAACGGTGCCGCTTTCCAAGACTTCATCAATGCGCTTGCCAAGGACCTTCTGCACACTCAGCCAGCGCATGTAGCGCGGAGGCCAATACTTTGCAAAGGATGGCTCGCCCGTGCGCCGTTGCGTCTCAAAGAGCAGCAATTCGCCTGCATCGGAAAACCTCAGTGACATGCTAGATGATATTCAAGGGAATAGCACGCGCATTCCAAAGAAAGTGGATGAGTATTCATGCTTATTCTCAATTCTAAAACTCAAAAAGGAACTGGAGCAATTCATGGAAACGAAAGCTCCCTCTCAGTCTCCGCTTTGCTCAAGGCTTTGGGATGCTGTTCTGGAAGAAGTGTCATCGTCGCCTTGGAATTGAAACCAAAGCCAATGCTGCCGATGACGTCGAGGGTCACAAACTTCATGTAATTCTGGATGTCGCACTCCACCTCTCGTCGTTGTTTTTGGAAAACTTATGATTTGGTTTCTAGATTTTGTTGGGACACTCAATGGTTTGCTTCTTAGATGTCACGTCCTGCACCTCTCCATCCCTCTCCCGCCTCTCCCTCTTGGATGTTGGCGTTGAGCACGAAGCGCAACATGTCCGCCTTCTCCGAGACCTGGGACGAGTAACCCTCCAAGAACTTGTCACTGAACAACGGCGCCACCAAACGACGGTGCAAAGCCCAGGAAGACTGCGGACCCGTATTTCGCAATGCCAGCAGGCCCTTGGGCATGGTGGTGTCAAAGCCGGTGCCGCTGGGGCGCGAATGGAAGAGATCCTTCTTGGATTGAATCTCTCCAATGATGGCAGGATCAGCCGTGAACAACATGAACTCCATGTTGGGAAAAAGCCACACGGGCAGGCGTACCCCCCAAGTAAGGCCCAAGTCTTTGAAGTGCTTCTTCACAGGCTCAATGGGTCTCTGACCTTGGATCTTTTCCAACTCAACAATGCCAGCGAAGATAGGTCCTGGCTCTTTTGGCTGAGGTGTGTCAGCAAAGAAGGCTTGACGTGCTCGGCCCTGTCGTAAGAGGTAGGCATAGACGGCAGCGGGTGTAAGAACAGCTGCCCCAGCCGCCACGCACCAGTTCGGGACATCCACACCCCCGATGCTGGGCATATCTCTTCGAAAGCACTAGCCTAGGGCCTAGGGTGTCTACTACTCTTGAGCTGTCAAATGCTCGCCTCAATAAAATCAAAAAAGAGACCTGCATGTCAATGTATAATCTATGTTTGAGGTTGGGTAGCTCAACCGTCGGAAAGTGACTCTCGAAGTTCACGATCGCAAATGAAAACCGCTCTCAAAAGCAGCCGCGGACTTTTCGCGGACTCGTGGCCATCAGGCTTCAAGGTGCGCATGCCCTCCCAGCTATCGGGAGGAAAACAGGTGGTTCGAGCAACAAAGCGGCAAAGCTTCGGCTTCGTCCACGAACCTCAGTGAACCTGTGCAGCAGCGAAAACATGTGATGGCATCACATTCACACCGGTCAAAGGTGGTGTGTCAAGTGGTTGCTGCTGCTTCGGCCTCCTGCTCTTCGTACAGGTCTTGGCCAAGGTCGTGGGCGCATACCCTGCAAGGTACGAGGGTGTGCGTCACATTCGCTGTGCGCTGGCTCGCACATTGCTGACTTGCATGCCAGCTACTTCCATAGTTGGTGTGGAAGATGTTGGCATTTATGGCAAATCTCAGGCGGTTGCGGGCTCTGACTCGGACTTCTTCTTTGTATCGAGTCCTCATGGTCTCTGCTTGCAGCTCGTAGTTCTCCCGTTGTCGACGGAAGTCCTTTTGGAAGCAGGTTTGTTGGTCTTGTAGTCGTTGTTCAGCCTGCTGGAGCTGTGCTTGTAGGTGAGTGTTCTGTGCCTCGAGTTGTTTTATCTGTCTCCTGAGGGAGATGAGTGTCTCTGGCTCGACATGTGTTGTCTGAGTGCTCTTGTCGTTCTGTTTATTGTCGCTGCCAGTGTGTTCTTCTGGATGCGGCACATCCTCATCTGTTCTGGGGGGCTGCTGTGGCTTGTTTGCCACTCGGGTGCAGAGGTGCCATATCAGGTTGGCGAGCATCGCAACCATCAGGGTGAAACCTGTAAGGAAGATGAAGTTTTGGTTGTCCATCAGGTGGTCTTGGAAGTTGTCTGTGTGTTCAATGGAGTGCGCAGTGGTTGTGGTAGCTAGAGAGGCGAACATAGCCATTTGGGCCAATGGCTTGGTGAGCGCGTAGCGCATCTGGCTTTGCTTTCGGCTTTCCAAGGTCTTTTTCTTGGACGCTGTGAAGTTAATATCCGGCTTCAGGCATGTTGTGTGGCTTCGTAGTCTTTGTGCTAGCAAGCTTGCTGCACTCTGTTTTGTCATGCCGTCTGCGAACTGTAGTTCGTTTGAGACCCAGGAGACGGTCGCTCCTGTGCAGGACAGTTTGTCCCGTGTCACTAGCACTTCGATGCTAGTCTGTTTGTCTGTTTGGGATGCTGTCTGTAGGTCTTGTTTGACCAGCAGGTCGTACAGAGCTTTGGTGTGTTGCTATCTTCGAGGGCTAGATATGGTGACCATATCAGTTTCCAGAAGGTGGAAGCATACAGCAGTGCATCTGCTGCTTCTGAGGCTGCCTGGCTTTCTGCTGCTAAGCTGGATCGGGCGATCCTTGGGAGTTTCCATGATCTCCAGTCGATCAGATGGTAGCCTCCTTCTGAGCCTGTTGTGACTGAGTGGTGTGTCATCATCACCAAGTGACCTCCTTGTGAAGTCAGGTCTGCTCTTGAAGCGAATGCAGCGTCGCTGTAGACGATGAATGTCATCTCTTCTGGCTTGCCCAGCTTTTGGAATCGTAGACCCACATCTGAGTATTGTTTGGCGTAACGTAGGCATTTGTTGGCTTCTCGAAGGGTCGAGATGTTGGCGCGACTCACTTGTCCAGCTAGCATGCTGGTCATGGCTTGGACATGAGGGCTGCTCTGAGTCGAGGGCCATTGGAGTGCTCCGACAATGCCTCGCAACATTGTGCGTTGTTTCTCTGTCACTGGTTGGTCGTTGGGTCCCTCTTCAAAGCCAATGGGCTTCTGCTTTGCCATGTAGGCAGTGTGTTGTAGTTCGTAATGATGTTCATTGATCCTTTGGATCTTTGCCCCACAGTACTCTATGTCTGTGTTCTGTTCCCATGTCCGGAAGTTGAAGGTCTTCCGCAGGGATGCAATGAACTTTGCACAGTAGCTGTTGTCCATGTCGGCACATCCAAGGATGTCGTACATAGGCTTTTTGAGCTTCATGAGGGCGTTGTCGCCATCGGTGCCAGTGAGGCCGAGGAGTCGTCTGGCGTCTGGTGGCAATTTGATCCATAGTGTGCGATGGCTAGGATGTTCCTTGCCTTGGAGGAATGCTGTGCTGACATCTGCGCTGAAGCTTGTCCAACCATTGTTGGCGCAGATTGAGAGGATGTAGTTTCGTCCCATCCGACTCAGCGTTGGAGCGTCAGTGCTGAGTTGGCCATTTAAGGCATCAGGATCTGTCTTTGAATCCTTGGGTGATGAGCCTTGCTTTTGCTCTGGGTTCACCGTTTGGCCATTTTCTCCACTTCAGGATGAAGTGTGCTTTGAGTATTCGGTCGCTAGGGACCGTGCCGTTGTCTTTGACCATTTCCCACACGTCGTTCTGGAAGAAACTTTCCAGTTCTTTCTTCTTTGCCTCCATGAAGGCGAGGCGATCAGCGAGTGTCATCCTTCGCTCATTGAGCTGATCCTTGCGGGCTTTGATGCCCGGCATGCTGTGGCCTGGTGGGCCTGTTTCTTCGGCTGTGTGTGCCTGTTCGGTGGTAGGCTCGACGTATGTCTGGTGGCCATGGCTGACATTATAGAAAGCTTCATGAGCAAGCAGGTGGTAGGCCGGCATGATTTTGAAGCTCGTCTGTCCTGTCCAGGCATGTTCTGTGGTTATGTTGCCCTTCTTCTTCCATCTGTCGTACTTGTTGAGGTTGGCTGAACCGGTTGTGTGTCGGTCTTTGCTGATGTAGTGCAAAGGCAAAGGGCATCCAGCTGTTTCGTCGGCTGGGTCAAAGAGCTGATTCCGTGGGATGTAGTGGCGACGTATCAGCTTGTTGTTCTGAATTGTCCATTCGTCCTTGCAGACGTCCAGGGTCAGGAATCCATTTTCTAACTTCCAGCCCGGTGGCAGTGTTGAGTCATCGACTCTGTTGAGATCAGTGTCGTAGGTGCTGAGGGTGAGTGCCATATCTGGATCCGGTGGTGCCGGTTTGGCATATGGTGTCGGACCTCGTGTGGTGTTGTGACCTCTTGCTTGTGGTCCGTATCGGTCTTGTCCAGATGCGGTTGGCTGGAGAGAGAGTGTCTCTTGTCGATCAAATCGCGTCCTCTGGTCGTGGAAGCTCTCTGTTGGCGCTGGTGGTGCATAAAGTTGCTGCTGATGTTCTGGAATTTGTCCACCATCATAGTGCACACTTGCCGTGGTGGCATGTGGTGTTGGTGCACCGTGTGTGCTCGGTGGTGGTTCTGGTTCGCCAGCGCTGTCCTGTTCTGTGATCTCTGTAATGTTCAGATCAACTGTTGGTGCTCCTGGTGGTGCCTCTTGGCGTGACTGTTCATGGGCTGCTGTTGTGTCGATCTGTGGTTCATCTCCAGGTGCATGTCCATCTCCATCCTCATCCATCGGTGTTGGAGTGGTAGTGGGAACATTCGGTGGACTGCTGCTGGAACCGCTATGTCGGTCTGTTCTCAGGACAAAGGTGGTGCTTCCTGTCCATTGGAATGGCATGGATCTGGTGGCATTTGGCAATGTCCAGTCATCTTGGAAGACTGTTCTGTTTCAGGCCGGTTGGTGTGGTCTCATGATGACGGTTCTCCGGATGTCCTGGAAGTTCTGCCACGGTGCTGCGTCGTCATTGTGTGGCGTGTAAAGTGCTTGTCTTGGACTCACATGGATGCGGTGCCATGTGATACCATCTTCTTCGATGTCCCAGTAGTCCTGCTGGGCTGGTTGTGGATCTGGCGCCGTTGCTTCGGTATCTGGTGCTTCTGGCATTTCTTCCTCATCATCAGTGACAATCTCTGTTCGTTTCCTCTTGTTGGACTTGATGAGGTCGGTGTACAGTGTGGTGCTTCTGCCTCGGATGTTGTCCAATGCTTGTCGTGCTCTCTGTAGTGGATCTGTGTCGCTCTGGTGGTTGAGGTCTGGTCGAAGATGTTCTCCGGAAACTCGTAGGAGTGTCGAGCCGTGTGTGATCCAATACGTGTTTGTTGATGGGCCAGTTCGGCCTGGTTCTGTCATCACGACAGTTGCTGGACCCTTCCATCGGATCTTTGGGCCTGCTCCTCCAGGGGCATCTCTCCAGTAGTAGACCAGTTGTCCAGTGGAGTAGGTGTATTGTACTGCTTGATGCTGTCGGAGGAGTGCTCGGCGCAGTCGTGCATCGTTGTCTGCTTCGATCACTGAGATCGCTGCCTGTTTTTGCAGGTGTAGCTTTTGCTCCATGGCTTCTGAGGGCGTCAGCTGTGCTGTAGTGAGGTCGTGATCCATCAGGACACCGGGTATGCGTGGTTGCATGCCCATAGCCCACTGTGTCGGACTGAAGCCTTGGACATTGGTGGTGTTGTTGATCTGGGGGATCACGTAGCATAGCGCCTGTGTGATCCGCTCACGGGTGCTCATGCGCGGATCGAAGTCTGGTCTCTCTTGTTGTGCTGCTGTGAAGAGTTCGATGCCTCGTCGTAGGACTTGATGTCTTCGCTCAAGCACGCTTAGCCGTGTGTGTGCTTGGCCTGGTGAGATCTCCAGTTGTATGCCGAGGTCGCTGGTCCATGTTCTTGTGGTGTCTGAGCTCCATCCTCTGTGGTCGTCGACTTGAAGGAGTGTTGGTGGACCAAAGTGTCTGATCCATCCTCGTTCAAGTCCTCGGATGAAGTCATCCGATTGTTCAGAGTCAATGACCCGAGCGGACATGAACTTGGTAGTGGCGTCGATCATGCTGAGGACTGGAACTGCTTGTGGCTTGTGGCCATTGTGTATTCGCGGTAGGTGTATCCAGACTGTGTCTGCTTGTACTCTGCTGTTGAAACTGCCTCCTGTTCGGAGTGTGCTCTTGGCCACTTGTGGTGGTGGTCGGTGTGCATCACATAGTTGGC